ATCATATACTCATGCCTCATTGTCCTATACTCATACCTCTCTTTGCCCTGTGTCCTTGTTTTCTATGTTCGATGTTTACTATCGTACGAGATGTCGTACTTTAACGAAATAATGCTGCGTATTTGGCGAGTTTTACGTGTATTTTCTGCAGCTACATCGCGAGGAGTTTGTCGTCACAACATACGTGTGTTACATAACTCTTTTTTTATAGATAGGACAATCGGCCAATGACCTGTACAAAATGCACCTGGTTAATATACGCGTCATAGTAATCTACATGTTACATTCAGACAATAATAATCCGCATAGTTCATTCAGTAGAGTGACCATGAATGCTGCTCGAAAAAAATGTCATAATTTTGACTAGTGACGGGAAGTTACTGTGTGAGAATAAGATAATTCTGAAAAGCAGCATAGGAAACGGGTAATATTGAGAACAAAGACATTAGTAAACGAGTACTACTTGGAGCGAAGAAAGAGAACTTTCCTAGTAAATGCTGATAAATGCGTTAACTAAGAGAGTTTTTATTTAGTCCACATTTACTAGTTTCTTTGTTTTCAACACGAGGAAAAGTCTCCTTTTTACTGAAAACTGTCCGCATCTACTAGTGAGCGGATTATTTTTCAGATCGAGTGGAGATTATAAATTTCTCCTCACTATTCAAACATACTATATTATTTTAAAAGCAGCAACACCCAGGGCTCGAACCAAAAATTGCGTGTAGATCATATCACCAGACTGAGCTAAGCAAGTGATTGGTGATGGTATACAACATATTGCTCACTGTGATACGAATGACTAGGTATGATATGAATATGGGATCGACCTTTCAATGCAAGAAGGGTCGGCCTGTCAGAGACAGTATTCTAGACGTACTTCGCTCGATGTTCATTTCAAACACACGTATTGCAATGTAAAGTACACATTTACTTTACGATTTCATTTACAAGGTGTACGTCCGTTTATGGCAAGTCATTTAAATTGGTTAAAGATTCTCGGAGGATTATTTTCCACAAACTGGATTGGAATGTTAGTTCCAATATCTGTGCTGCAGTGGAACGTTGTTTAATAATCTGTCGTTTCCAGGCTCTCAGCATTCGGCATATACTTTTTACTGAGCTCTACCGAGTTTGTCCGTCTTTACATATACATATAAGTCGTTACATATACACACATACGCTATGACAAGATACACACTGCATTGTGACTGCAACAACTTGTTTTTGCACTCCACCCTTAACCCCAACCATAACCCTAACACCAACCCTCACTCCAATTCATTTGTACATGTCCCCCTATATAACTATTAGTAGTGTCTTTAGTAGGGGTATATGCAATTAAATTTGGGAGCACTGGAGGGCAGGGGTATGATTAGAGTTAGGGTTAAGGTCATATTCCGTCATATTCGCCGTATACCATTGATATCGTTCCCGAATGTTAACTGGAATTAACGCCCAGTTCGAGGGCCAAGGTCAAATAAAAGTCCGTGGTGCGCCGCGCCGTTGAAATTTACCTGTACGATAACAATGAATCAAAAATCATACTTCCTTGAATTAGATTTAATAACATATTTATGTGCTCTGAATTTAATATAAGTTATGTTATTCTTTGTATTTGAACTTAGCCATCACATAGATCCAAGTTTCAGTTGGCAAACATTAAATATACTTCTTACTGCAGACAAATCGGATTACATTTATCATATCCTAAAAATGTTGCGTTTGCAGAATACATAACAGCATTCGTTAGATGAAAATCAAAACTACTAATACGCATGTGCATGAATATTATGGTACGTACCAAAACAATAGGTGCACATGCGTATTAGAGAATGTCATTGTTTCATCGCAATGTTAAAAAAATGCAAGTTCTCGTCCTTATTGCATCCCGGATTGCATCCAGTGTGATTGTTAACGTGGAATGATGACAGGAACTGCACACGAGATAGACACCCTCCGCCCCCGTGACTGGATGCCATTTTTTCTAATGGGATTGCAGAGAGCCGGTAAGTTATCAAATTGTTACGTGCTAATTTACTCAATTGTCAAGTGGGGAGCCGAGCATGGGGGGGGGGGGGTGCGGAATGTGTGTGTGTGTGAGGGGGGGGGGAGTTACTGCTAACCAATATGATAGGCATCGTGAAGACAATTATGAATACACATTCTATACTTACATTTCCATGACGACAATTCGTCAGAGATTTCTAGTTATTCACACAAGATTTATTCGGTTAAGGTAGATTTGCGAATCGTATAACTTATTAACACGTGCATATTTTATTTGAGACAGAACTATATGGATGAGACTTTGATCGCAAACATTCATCCATACAATTCTGAAAAAAATATGTGTGTATTATTGGAGGGTAGATATTGGTATACGAATAAAAATGCATTCATTTAAAACAGCAAATCAGTATGTTTAGTTTTTATTTGAACGAATAAGTATTTATGACCAATATCGTAAATAATTCACGGCTTACAAATCTAAGGCCCCTTACACTCAAGCAATTTGAATGTCACAAAAAATGGATGTATTATCCCTGATACCGTCAACTTGTACTAAGTTGATAAAGAAAACACATTAAAACTATTAATAGATGTCACACAACCCCGGTATATGATTTAACTGCAATTACAGAACAAGGATCATTAAAGGAAGCTACTGTCGTCAGTATTTCTTCGCTTGATCATCAGAGCCCGGGATGAAATTATTGCTTAATATGTGCGGCTAGTTTGTATTTCGAGAAAGACAAATGTATAATGTACCATTTTGCTGACGTACACATACCTATACGTCTAACTGGTAAATTTACAAATATTATAAATGCTATTCTCACTATTGATATGCAAATAAGTATATCCAAAATATTTTCCATTATTGTATAATGGTTTTGGCCGATTGTGCATGCGTTGGTTTAAAATATAAACAACTGAATATGAATTATCCTTATTGTAGTGTTAGTACTATATCCCTCTGACATTCCAAACTATGTATATGAACACTGTGTATAAATGATAATATATGATATGATACATGAAGAACAACTGAGGCATTCCATATATGGTATAATAATACTATTTTGCATTGTAATATATTATTAGTGTGTGTCTTTGAATGCCATACAAGGGAGAAGGATGTCCCACAGTGCCGACCATCCACCGGTCGGAGTCGAAGCCTGGTAAAAGAACAGCGTCGTAAAACTAATGATGAACAAAACTTAAAAATACGTTCAAAGTTGCTATATTGCTATTTTTTATACTGATTCGGATAACTAACTATATTTCTAAGGAACTGCGTGACTCTCTTCAAAATCGAGTTGTGCTCCACCTCACCGATGTCAGGATGGTTGTCTTCGAGCTCAATGCTTGATTCCAATCTGAGTTTTGAGCCAGCGCCGTGTTGTTTATCTGCGAACAATACAAACATGAGACTCAATGTTAGCCGATTCGCAATGCGCATTTTTATTCGCCAATAAAAACATAGTGATTTTTTCAAAACGCTTTTTTCATTGACGAATGACTAGATACAAACACTGGCGACGTATTAATCCAGTCATGCTATGAGTAACTATGGAGCTATAAAATACCCTCATCTGTCTCGAAATCCCTATCCTCATAAATGCCATGTAACATATCACATGGGATGCATTACACACTGTACATATATAATATTAATACTTTCTCAGTTTCTGCTAATTGTAATATTAATAACTTCGAGTGAGTATATCGAAAATGTTTTCAATAACCGTTGGGCAAACTCAAATAATTCATATTCGGCGCCTTTTTGTCTCAGAATTTAAAAATTATTCCCCTCACACATAAGATTTGTTCCACCTATTATGAATTTATGGTTGTTTTTTAATTATAGGTATTCTCTATAACTGATTTTGTTTGACTTTTTAACGACTTTTGGATGAAAGTGTCCCTAATATTAAAATGCGCTTTTCATAGAATATCGAATATGAAAGAAATAACACGTACTTTTGAGTGAATAATTTCATCTGGAAATTGAGACATGTGTTACTAATCCCGTTTAAACTAGTTTTAAAGTAGTGTGAGCACATTAATTACGTAGTACTTAACGTCGATAATGGTCGTTGTTACGCATATATAATCGGTCAAAAAGTGATTTAAAGTAAGTAAACATGCACCAATTTAATTAATTTTCATACTGTCAGGGCTTGGTTTAAGGAAAGCCAGTCTTCTCTTTTCGGTTGAGTGCAAAGTATCAAACTCGGCCACAGTTATCGAGTTATCTCGTCGTTTTCCGTATCGCATAATTGCCAGCGGCATTGGCTTAGGACCACCACCAACGTTCAAGTTGGGCCTCGACGCAATAGCCCTTGCATCAATTAATCTTCGACAGCGTCTCGCGGGAGTAGCGACACATTTGTTAGGTCTTCCGATAGATTGAGATCTGGTTTCGGGCAGGACGAGACTTGCAGCCAGCACAATGGCAACTATGACCGACATGCTAAGCGCACTGTTTGTATACTTTATCATAGTGTTTCCTTCGTTGGTGTGTCGTCTGAAACAAAATAATACGACACAATAAATTAGTAAATTTAAGTTAAGTACGAATTATACACATGCATAGAATTTAAGCAGTCTGTCTGTGAACTTTATATGACAGAAAACGTTAGTCCCTAATCGGATCAGTGACAAACATGATCAAGGAACTCCAAACTGATTAAAAACTGTTGATTTTTCTAAAGCCACCAAGGAATTCAGATTAAGCAATAATTCTCCCAAAATACTAATCCAAATAAGAAACTAGATCCAACACTATAACGAGGCTATGCGGTTAAAGTAAATTTGAACGTGTTTAATTTATTGAAAATGTGATAGATGATGATTTAAAACTCAAACACACATGCACATCGAATTCGTCCATGCAATTATATATCTAGTGACAACTGGTGAGTGCTGCGGCGAAAAAAAAACTTGGTATATTAGTACTATCACTGCAGTTCTGCATGTTAACTTTTGTAGTCCGTTTCTTTCCTACTCGAGATAGTTCTTAACATATCATATCTCCGAACAGATTAGTTGGGATTAAAAAAAACACTTTGCAGATTAAGCAGAACAATTCTACACGCATTTCCTTCACACACAAAATTGTATGACTGGCTTTTATTGTTGTTATTTAAGTTTAGATGGGTATAACATAATTGAAATCTTTCTTCGACGATGAAGGACAATTATTTGTTGTTTCATATGAACATGAATATGTAATTGTGTAGGATCTGCATTGCTCGAATGCTGCGTCACAACAGACGTTAAGAAACTTTCGAAAGTTCCAACCTGTAGCATGGAGTTCCTTTTTGCCGAGGGGCTATTACAGGTGCCGAGTAACCCGACGCGAATCGTGAAATATTACACAGGCATGGGAGTACGCTTTTAAACGACTTCCCGTTCACGTGTCAAGTTACATACAAAAGAATGACACTTTTATCAAACTTTTATATTTACAGCCAGCAGCAAATGAAGCGGGACTACGAAAAACCGCTGACATCAAAGGCGTTAAAGGGGGAAGTGACGTGTGATATTTGGCAGATTGGCGAAAATATAGCGTGAATCATATTTAGTTTTTGACATCACAATAAAGCGAGGGTGAAGTAAGAAGAGCCTTCCGTAAAGTCTTAGACGTACCAGCATTGTAATGCAGCGAAACGAGTTGGGATGAAGAGAACGAGAGACGGAGAACAGCCGTGCTTCCGCTCCCAGACAACGTATGTATGATAAACTACAGGAAGATAGTTATAAGTGGAATGCTACAGGTAAAGATTTAAAGAGTATTGCACGCATCATATTTTCTAAAATGTCCGGGAAACAGAATCCAGTAAGGTATATGATATAGTAACTGTGAATGACTTAACTCTTATCTAATGTTATAATGTTCATCAGAACATGGCGAGCAAATGGCGTGTAGCGCATTCAAAACCGCAATATGTTTGTAGTGTTGTCGACGGTCACCAATTCTGTGGGACGGTGCACCGGTTTATTAGTTTTTACGCTATCGATGAAATATCACAGGTTACCATTTTCAATATACACATATGAATTGCGCTTTTCAGTGTTGAGGTCGGTTTTCGGAATAAGACACACAAATGACGGGCTACCCCAAAACCACTGAGACTTCAACATTCACTATTAGCCGTAACTTGAATTCGTTTGTTCACACATACACACGTAATCAGTCGTAGTTACATGGCAAAACCTACGCACGTGTTTTTAATGAATGTTATACTACGTCAGAAAGTTAGCTTTAGTTTCTCTGTGCAAAAACCCGACAAGAAAGAAAGGTATTTTGACTAATCAATTCACAGTTTATCGGATAGCAGAACCAGGCCCACCCAGTCTTGTAGGCAAATATACACTTTGTTATTGAAGCCATACTCATTGACAACCACCACATACACCAACTAATTGCTGTTAGTTGTCCATACAGAACTAGTACGGGTCTATTAGCTTTCATTTGAAACTAGTTACTGAGTATATTACTGAGTAGTAAAACGAAAGAATAGTTGTGTATCTAGAAGTCGCGGGGTGAAGTACTGGTCTCTAGTGCCACCTTCCGTAATAGCGTTGATTTGATTTGCATTGACTTAATGTGTGACATAGACGCCATTTTATTATTACAGTAATTCATATCAGTTGTTGTTGTTATTATAGTTCCTGAAAAAATATTTAAAAAAATAGTACACACTTAAAAGAAGGTCAATTAAAGTGACTACGTAATATTTATAGTCCTAAACATCTGTCCAACTTCAAATTCAAACACCGTTCACTATTTTCATCTGAATTTCAAAAATAACAAGTCGTTAATTTCATTAAAAAATAATGCAACAGCCTGCTATATCTCGTGTAATGCACGTATTTCTCCATTCAATTAAAATGAAATTGTTCAATCAGTAAATATTTACCTAAATTATAACGAACGAATTAAATGTTCTCTGGCGAGTGAAAACGACAAACTCTTACTAGCATAGCGGCGTTGTCGGCGAAAATTGTCAAAACCTCGGAAGAGACTGATAATCAGTGAATTATGGTTATCATATTTCTATTTTTTGAATCTGTTTTTGTATAGAGTGATTGTAAGTCACTGTTTGAAAACCGTGACAGCTCGAAAACTGGCATAGTGAGTCTATCTCAAAAAGTTGAAATGTAAAGTCACCTGGTTTTCCGTCGGGTGTACATTTCGGACTGTAAACTCTGTATTCTTTAAACACACGTACATACTACACCGCGATGTTTTTTGTAGAGATTTGTTTATTTCTAAGTCACCAGGAATTGTCGCATAAGGTAATGTAAACGACATATGACTTTAACTGACTAGTTGATATATGCTATATGATCAAACGACCGACTATTTAGACCGTATCCTGTTTTAAGATTGAATACATACATGCCAATCCACTGAAGATATTTGCGAGAATACGAAAATGTATTTTAATGAAACTCTATCGGAGCACTTGGATACTGAGTTTATTCAGTAAATAACACACGGTGCATATAATTAATAATGTCGCTTATCCCTAAGCTGCAAATCTCACTAGGACTTTTCATTACTAGGTGCTCACTAAGGTATATTCAGTGGAATGAAAGTGCGTGCGATTTGTGTAATTGTTTGTACGTTTGTATTACTGTGCTTCGTATTCGCAATGGTTTCAATCACCATTATTTGGACAAGCAAATAAATAAAAGGGAGTGGAGGGGGTTCATACTACGAATCAATGTGCTTTATTAAGTTGAAAATCTACGTATAGAGCACACGTGTATATCGTTAATAGTAAAACAAACATAACATAATACGGTTTCACATATCTAGAAAAAAAAACAATGTTTCAAGTAAGAATTTTACGTATGTCTGTTTTAGAAAAATAAACACAATTTCAATATTGCCACCCACAGGATTAATACCGCCGAAAGATACCCTGTAAAGAAAAACAAAGCATCGAAAAGAAGAGATTAATTTTTCACATAAAGATTTATTAATCCCAACAATTGTTCAGTGAACATTTAAAAAGCTATACACAATACCCAAGATCCAGAAGGTTACACCAATATAAACTTCATCCTAGTGACAACAATACATTAGTTGCACGATATATTTTTAATGATAGAATAAATGAGGAAGAGAGAAATAAAAGAAGAGACGAGGTGCGAAGGGAGGAGACAAAAACAGAAAA